CCATCCATCCATCCATCCATCCATCCATCCATCCATCCATCCATCCATCCATCCATCCATCCAGTAGGACATGCTTGAAAGACGCACTCATGCAGGAGGTATCCTAATGAGATATCTGGACCACCTCAGGAGGACTAATAATGACTCAGAAACAGATGAAAGAAGACCACATACAGGCAACCTCACCTGAAAAAAAAAGAACAAGGATTCCAGAGACATCTCTGGAGGATTGTCAGAAGACAGCTACCAGCTGCACCACCCGCACAGATCCATCATGGCTGGCTGCTGCTTAAAACCAAGAGGCAAAGATGCGGCCACAAAAATCACAATTTTACAACATCTATAAAGTTTGATCCATTTTGAAAGCGAATATTTAAGCTTGTTCAAAGTTCAGCTGAAMCTTTCTGTTGTTCTGGTAAAAAGGGAGAGAAAAGCAAAGCTGCAGAATTTCAGGAGCTCAAACTCCGTCCGACAGTTTGCTTATCTCCTGCAGAAAATTAACGTCAACATAAGAATCCAAAAGCACCACAGAACCGTTTTTAACAGAAAGAGCTTTGGAAAGTCTCTCCATAAAATATTTGTGCACTAAAACACTGAAGTTCTGCTGTGTGATATTGTTTTTATTGTTTTTTCCCCACATTTATGTACTTACACATAAATTACCAATTAGAGCAAAACCCACTTCAGTTGCAATTAAAATGTTCACACAATATGATTAATATCTAAAATACAACTGTGATTGAAGCTATTATTCATGGTGACTGCCTTTATTTGAAATGGTTTTAGYATATAAAAAATCTAATGCATATTTTTTGTACAACTTAAAAACCATTGCAGAAACTCAAAATAAGTAAATCTTACATGAACATGGAAACAAAACTGGTTGATAAGAAGCACATTACTAAAGAAATATTTTTAAAATAACTTTATATGACAATAACTAGGTTTTCTGAATAACAGTGTTTTCTTAGCTGTGATAAAAGTGAAAAGGCAGAAAAAGTCATTGAGGTTAAATTTGTAAGGGCTTCTGTCAAACTGATGATCCATCCAGTCAGACAGGCTGCAAGCTGCTTGAGGATAATTGTGTCTGATATGCTGAAGACCAAAAGAGCTGATTTGCAAAATTCTTTTCAGCATTCACACAACCCTGAAACAACACAACGAACGGGCGGGAGGCGGGCAGACAGAGACCTCAGGTGGTGAAAACTGAACGACCCAGGAAACATCTGGACAGAGAAGATTAGAAAGTGTTAGCAAAATAATAGATTATCATTTGGAATTAACCCGATTTAAGATAATTCAGTAATTATACAAATATTGAACTAGAATTTGGTAGTAGCTCAAACTGATCCCCACATGACCTCCAAATAAACGCAAGCAAGATATTTTAAAAACCTTGGCAATAAAAATAGCTAAATTATCTATCTCTTAGCAAAATATCTCACAAACTACTGAAYAGATTTTAATGAAACTTGCACGAAATACTGTTGAGGTGCACATGTATAATTGATTAACTTTTGGAGCAAATCCAATTCAAGATGGCCACCACAAGTGACCTTAAAAATCTCGTAAATGGCTATAATTTAGTTAATTTGACAGCTTTTGTGCTAAAATTTGTTGGAAACATAGCTGAGAATGATTTGCAACACATAGTACACCAAGTAAACTTTAAAAAAAATTGCATTAATAACCGGTTGAAGACATGCATGTTTGTCTGTTAAGCAAAATATCTCATGAACTACTGGGTGATATATTTTTTTAACTCCTAGATAATAATGATTGGACGTACTTTGGACTCAATCCACACAAATCAGAATGATTTATTTTAATTTTATTTTTTAAAATAAGTTTTCAAGTCTTGCAATGTCAAACATATTCTCCTCAATATATATATATTTTTTTTAACCAATCTAGTGCAGGTGTATGTGGAGTACATATTTTTGGCACTAATGAAACTCCATACATGTGATGTGTTTCAGTCTCACCTGTAGGTGCAGTAAAGAGCCGATAACTGCCCCAGCAGGCTCTGCGTGTWCTTGTAATTTCCAAGAAACGAGCAGCATCCCCGCGAGGTGAGACTTCCGCTCCTGCAGCTGAATGTTTCCCCCCTGGTCGCTCTGACGACCCCTGTATTATTCAGATGAGGAGCGGACTGGACCTATGGCGCCGCGCGCRCAGCTCCAACGTGCGGCCGCTGCGCGCCCATTGGCCAGAAAGGCTCGAATGATGCGTTCAGAGTTTATTCTGCCGGGGAGGCTGCATGAGACGATGCGCGCAGCCTATGAGGACAGACAGGAGGAGAAGGGATGAGTTTTATGGCTCTACTTGAAAGAATGAGTGTACCAAGCAGGAGCGCAGGTTCTGAACCTGCCTGTTCATGTGACTGAATCATAAAGAGAGACAGAAAGACGAGAGGGACCGATACAACTGGATTCTGTAAGTTAAAAACTTTTGCGTTGGGATCTGATCTAACTAATTGAAGTCATCAGAATGTCAGGACTCTGTTTTCACATCACTTATTGCAGTTTCATCATTTCCTTTGGTGTTGCAGCTTGTCTGAGTTCATCATTAAGTATTAATGCAGATGATGCTCTTGTGTTTGTTTTAATTGACTTGATGCACGTCTGACTTCTGCTTCCTCTGCAGACTTATCTTTCTCCAATAGGTGTGAGACTTTGGGCCAGATCAGTCCTTTAACCGTTTGGTGCAGGTGGACCCGGGCAGGATGGGAGGTGGAGGTCAGCAGACSGAGCAGGGCGAGCCGGGCAGCGGGAAGGCTGCAGGTSTTTACACCTGGGAGGAGGTCCAGAARCACAGCAGCAGGAACGACCAGTGGCTGGTCATCAACAGGAAGGTTTACAACATCACTCAGTGGGCCAAGAGGCACCCAGGRGGGTTCAGAGTCATCGGTCATTATGCTGGAGAGGATGCTACGGTAAATATTCTGTTCATGGAAAGATAAATGCACAACTTAATTTGAAAGTGTTTCATGTCTGGATATAATTTCATCCCCGTTAGATTGTATTATCAGGCAGCCACAACAAGATGAGCAAGTTAAACTTTAATTTCATTTGTTTAGGAACAACGGCAGAAGCAATGCATGTGTGCAAAACTAAATACAKTGCTAGTTAGTAACATTTAGAACCCCCCCAAACAAAAACTTTATTTACTTGGAAAAAGAATTGACCTTTCTCTTTAATTTGGCTTTGGTCCATTGAGGTTGGTTCACCKTGATTCAAGTTTTTTAAGACATGCAATTTGGGCCACATGTTAACTCGGTCCTGTGTCTGTAAACCAGGCCCAAAGCATCATCTCTCCACCACCGTTCACCGTCGATTCAAAATGTTGATGCCTGGACAAACATGGCTCTGTTTGGATCAGTGAGCAGCACTCTGGTCTCAGCTGTWTGAAGGGCATCGTTCTAAAAGTCTTTGTTTAAATAGTCTTTTAATTCGAGAAAAAACTTTACTTCTTCWGTCTTTTAACTACTTTTTAAAATGCTAACTGAGGTCTGTAAAGAATGACGTTTCTTAGATTTTATGCAGCTTTGCCTAAACAATCTTGATTGTTCTTGAAGTCTTGATTGTTTTCTACATGTTATTATATTGGAGTTATTGAAAGTCTAAAGCTGTGTAAGGACTCCARATGATTTACTATCCTCATGATCCTGAGATTAATGTGTAGAAACATTAGCMTGTTCTTCACACACCTGAGACCACCGACCCACAAAAAGGTCCTGCTGCTACAGAGCAGCTCACACGTGTGACGATGTGATGTGGATCAAGTGGATTTAATTAGCCGCACCTGAACGCTGCCGCCCGTCTCGACCCCTCTGGGAGCATCGAGGGCGTTCTCGGGTTGCACTCGCTGCGCCTCCGCTTTGTTCTCCCTTGAATAAATAACGTTGGGGTGTAATATTACAAAAGATTGCTCTGACCCACTTTTAAAACACAATAAACAYCAGAACTGTTTTTTATGGCTTTATAAATGAATCTTTGTGTCTAAGATTAGTTTTGCCTTGAGACATTTTCATTTTACTTTGGATTTTATACCCTTTTTTATTTGAACTAAGGACAAAATAGAAATGCTAACTTATGTTTAAGTTTGCCCTTTGACCGSAGTTTTTACGTGTTACTGTAATCTGTAATAAGCACATCACCTCATGCCATAATCATGATTATCTCTGAATTATCAGAGATAATCTCTGAATGTCATTCTGACCTGTTAACAATTGGAATTGTGCAGATCTTTATTGCCATTCTGGCTAATAATAATGTTTTTTTTTGTCAGTGTGGATATCTCAGATACTTTAATAGATCATCAGTGAATGCTCTTTACACTGCAAAAATAACTTTGAAAATACTAGATAATAGTTTAAATCTCAAATTAAGTGAAATAATGTCAGTGCTGTAAGACAATTGCACTTGGTAAGACTTTTTCAAACAAGACAAGTTTCTAGGCTAACTAGATTAAWAATCTAAMACATTCTGCTTTTGCTTAGTGTATCAGTCAAAAAAATCAGAAATACGTGTTGGCTGGTATCAGATTATAAGACTTGATCAGTTTTTGCAGTGTGGTTTGGTTTTGTATCTACATGTCTGTGAAAATCATCTATTTATAAAAGTGCAAACATTTATTGTATTTATTTATTTATTTGTTTGTTTGTGTGTAATGAGTGCTTTTACTGCTCCAGACATGTTCCTGGGTTTATTAAAAAAGAATGTCAAGGGGGCAAAAAAAAAAAAGAAAGAAAGAAAGAAAGAAAAGAGGGCAAATTTTCTTTAAGTATTTTGGAATTTGGGAATTTTTTCCTGCCTGAACTCATCGATGGAGTCGTCATTTTTCTTTCACAGGAGGCGTTCACCGCTTTTCATCCTGATCTGAGGTTCGTGCAAAAGTTTCTGAAGCCTCTGCTGATCGGAGAGTTGGCACCAACAGAACCGAGTCAGGACGGGAAAAAAAATGTGAGCTTTTCAATTCAGCTCCCTGGGTTTGAGTTTTACCGCTTCGGGAACATCTGGGCGCTCGTATTTTAGAAGTTGCATGTTGCAAATTCTGTTATTTTTTTTCTTTAGGCAAGAATCATACAGGATTTTGAGAATCTGCGAGTTCAGGTAGAAAAAGAGGGTCTTTTTCGAACTGATCCTCTGTTCTTCTGCCTCCACCTGGGTCACATCCTRCTGCTGGAGGCCCTCGCCTGGTTGATGGTTTCATACTGGGGGACTAGCTGGACACTGACGTTGCTGTGTGCSGTGATGCTGGCAACCTCTCAGGTTAATTTAACATAATAATTGTAGCCGAGAAAAAACTCTGTACAGTAATGATAACACACCTGTTAGTGGAACTGTTCTAAATGATTCATTTCTCTTCATCAGTCTCAGGCCGGGTGGCTGCAGCACGACTTCGGTCACCTTTCTGTCTTCAAGAAGTCAAAATGGAATCACCTGGTGCACAAGTTTGTCATCGGACATTTAAAGGTAGCTTTTCTACATTCGCCCTTTAACACCTGATGTATACACTTTTGTCAAACTGCTGTGTTTTAACAGGGAGCTTCAGCCAACTGGTGGAATCATCGACACTTCCAGCATCACGCCAAACCCAACATCTTCAAGAAAGATCCGGATGTCAACATGTTGAATGTTTTTGTGCTGGGTAACACTCAACCCGTGGAGGCAAGTGGCTCAGAGAATGATTTCATTTAAAAACATGTTTAACTCTTAGCTGCTCACTTMCTGTAACTCTGTTGTCTCTGTTACAGTACGGCGTTAAAAAGATTAAACACATGCCCTACAATCACCAACATCAGTACTACTTTCTTGGTACGTTTGAATATTATTAAAAAAAACAATAATAAGTCATTTAAATAATTGTTTGGTTGTTGTTGTTGTTGTTGTTTTGCAGTGGGACCACCGCTGCTCATTCCAGTTTACTTCCACATTCAGATCTTGCAGACAATGATTTCCCGTCGTGATTGGGTGGTAAGACTTTTGGAYTTTGTGTGCTACGATGCTGTCCACAGAAAGATTTGTCACTTGCTAATTATGTTTAAAGTAACATTTAATGACAAAAAAAATAAAGCACCCAAAAGATACAGTCTGACTTGAAGGTAATTAAAGGGAAGGATCAGTGAGTATTGAAGCGATTCAATWTAGAAGGAGCTGTCACATCTCAAACAGGCACCAGAGGGCATTAATGACATCATCAGTGGAGCTAAAGTGTTATCTGGCAATTGCTGCATGTAGATCACCAGAAACAGAAGATGACTCAGAGATACATTCAGTGTGTGTTTGACAGGGGTTTTAATATGGCTTTGAATGAGGCTATATGGTTGTATTTTGCAACATGTTGAGTACACAGGTGGAACCAGTGTGTACACATGAGCACCCCACACTGCATGAAGCTTCTAGTTGCTTAACACRGTCTGCACCAAGGTTTATTGTATTGTTAGGCATTACAGAATACCATGTTATCTGTTCCTGCCTTCTGGACACAGATGTTCAAATCAGGGTTGACTGTCCCCTGCCTAGAGAGATGACTTCAAGCTACCTTTGATGATAATTTGGGGGACCCTAATGTCACAGTTCTGCGTCAGTGTCATCCTGTTTTTACTTGTTGTACTCCTCCTGAGACACATCACCCATTCATGAAACGTGTGACTGTGGGCTACCTGTCCTCCAGTCAGGTCACTTGATCTTTACTTGATCTTTCATTTTTTTTAATCACTCAACGTGGGTGCCTTTCATTTTTTTGTCACTTGGCCTGTATAATTTATGAAAATATTTGACCATTCATACACTTTTGACCAGTTTTGAAATTGTATAAACCTTTTCTTTTGAAGGATTTTGTTTGGGCCATGACATATTACCTCCGCTTCTTCTGCTGTTATACACCGCTGTATGGCTTCTTTGGCTCATTGGCACTCCTGACCTTTGTCAGGTAAGAAACAATTATCATATTTAATTGATCAGGTTACTTAATTTTTTGTTTTGTGTTAAAGACAATTAGTACCTCAAGATGATTTTTTTTTTTTGTAAAAATGATGACCATATTTGTACTTTTACACTTTTGGTCAGTTATATCTTACTGCTTATTTTACAGGTTTTTAGAGAGTCACTGGTTTGTGTGGGTCACTCAGATGAATCATATCCCGATGGAGATAGAATATGAGAGACACGAGGACTGGCTGACCATGCAGGTACCAGGACTTCCATGTTTTTTAAATTTGAAACTGTGTTTAAGAWATCAAGATTATTCTTCTATTCATCCTAACTCTTTTATTGTTTGTATAATAAAAGTAAATACAGTAGATTATAGTATACCAAGCAGACATCATAATTGTTATCAAGCAAAAAAAAAATTTAACAAATACACTTTTTTCTTATTTTATTTTCAGTTACAATCCACCTGTAACATCGAGCAATCCCTCTTCAATGATTGGTTCAGTGGGCATCTCAACTTTCAAATTGAGCACCAGTAAGTTAAAAAATGTTATTATTTTATCGTTTTTTCCTTATCTTAAGCCCTTCTCTTAAAATTGTAACCATCACATCTGGGAATTGGGATGTCCCAATTGTTTTTTTTCTCATGTGGGGTGTCTAAATCAGCTGGTGGGTACCAAACGTCTGAAAGGTGGTATCAGAAGCTCAAACCCGGGTGATGGAGGAGTTAGGAGAGKCCAAAGGGAGGGGTTTCTGGTTGGCCTCAGGTAGATTTTAACGAAACATTTGGGATCTCAGAAAACATTTGGTTGTTGAATTGCTGACCTGAATTGGGTGAAAGCTTTGGTCATTAAGTTCACTGCTGAAGATTTAGAGGAGGGTGAGGATTACCCTTGCAGAGGCTGCTGAGGGAATTCAAAAACGTTCCAACAATGGTGCATAGGGAGTGGATGAAAAAGGTTATTGGGTTGCTGTCATGACTGACACACCTGTTCAGCCTTCTTGAGAATATTTACACCAGGGTGTTGGAAAGGAGACTTTTGACTGATGTCTCATCTAACAATCTTTTTAAATTTCTCTTCCCTAAGTTTGTTTCCAATGATGCCTCGGCACAACTACCACCTGGTGGCCCAGCGGGTTCGCACTCTGTGTGAAAAACATGGGATTCCTTACGAGATGAAAACTCTGTGGCGAGGAATGGCTGATGTCGTCAGGTAAACTCACTAACAGGATGAGCAGGAATAAACTGATTGTGCCAATATATTGTCTACTTTTTTCTCACAGTTTTTTTTATTTATTTTTTTTCAGTTCACTGAAAGCGTCAGGGGAACTCTGGCTTGATGCATATCTCCATAAATGATGGGCRGAATGCATCAGAAATATCATTTTTCTCTGTTTTGCAGCAAACATTGACTGAATCTGAGTGACTTAGAAAATCTCTTTTTAAATTTATACGTTCATTTACTTTGTATTAAAGTGATGTTGTTAGTTTTGTTTGAGGCTTTGACACATTTATTTCAAAGTTTTTTGATGTTTTAGGAAAAAATGACTGAAATATAAAAAACCATGTCATCATTGTTCTATTTTGTAACACGGAGGTTTAATGATGAAAACAAGACATGATTATTTGTGCTATGAAATCCTAAACATGTTTAAAAAAAAGCAGACACTGTTAATTTATTTTGCTCTGTCAAACCTGTAATTTCTTCTTTGTGGCATAGATAAAAAGTTAATACATTTGTATTCCTTCAAGAGTTAAAATAAAATTTCTRCCAATTCTTTTAGTTTTAAAAAATCTGCTCTTTTTAACATATAACACTGCATTTACAACAATAAACAAGTTTGATCAAAATGTTATTTTCATGAGTCGTACCAATTTATTTTGATTAAGTTACCTATTAGTACTTCTCYTGTAACATACTAACTGAAAATCCCCATAATGTTTGTATCATAAAGCATTGTTCGTAAGAATGTCTGAAATCTACAATTTATTTTAATGCAGGTTTCCGAGCTATAAACACAAATCATGCTAGCTGTGTTTTACTTTGTCTAAGTGTTATTTTAATAGCAAATTCCTGCCTAAGTGCTGCCAAGTGGAGAAAATGGTTATTATTTTAGCTGCAGATTTTATCTGCGATGGAGTAATATTTTCATTTCAGCAACACTTTATGTTGTGGTTTAGTATTTTCTCTGTAATATCCAGATAAAAAGGCAAAAACAGGCCACAGGTTAACCTGCTTCTAACGCAGAAATGGTTTTATTGACAGAAAGCTCTTCTAATAAAACTTTTGGGTRCATTTTACACCAGGAAGCAAAAAGTGACTGATTTTGAATGATTCTGTRGATGTGAGAGAAAAATCAGGTTTGATGATATGTCCTTGTCACACACTGAGCAATCAGGTCACTCCAGCTCCATGACTCTGACCTTGGTGCCGTTATTTAGACAGCTGTGTAGATAAGCAAATGTCCTGTCAGAGAATAAATCCTTTACTATCTTTTGTTAGGCATTCTCTCCAACAGGCTCTGCATGGATTTCTGTAAAACCACCAACATCTCCCTAAACCAGCTCACAGAAGAAGTGTTTGATTTCCAGCAAAGATGATTTCTTGGCTGTTTTTTCAACCCTGAATTCAGATGAGCAGATTATTGATCCTATTGCACACATRCAAGTGGTTCCACATGTAACAGCTGCACTCTGATTGGCCTCAAACACAGAAATGATTTCCTGTTTGAGATAATTCAGAGGCGAGAACGTTTAATGATGCTGGCTAATCAGAACAGAGCAGCAAACAAAGTGAAGTCTGAAGCTCAGAGTTATCAAGTTAACKGTTAGATTCTGCAGACTATCCGAGGAGCACATGTTCTCATTTAAGYCKGAGACTTTTTGGGTCCRACCGGTCCTTTTAGTTTGCTGCAGGTGRCAGAATGGGAAGTGGAGGCCTGAAACATGAGCTGGTGGAGCTGACCAGCAGGAAGCCTGCAGGTGTTTACACCTGGGAGGAGGTCCAGAAGCCCAGCAGCAGGAACGACCCATGGCTGGTCAACAATTATTCAGTGGGCCAAGAGTCATCAGCCACTATTGAGGAGAAGATGCTATGGTAACTAAGCTGTTTTCATATATAAAATGTATTTGTACTTTGATTTTAAGGTAAAATCCGTARTAACAATCCTGTAAATGTCTGTAGATTTTATCAGGTAAAAACAAAAGGCATGTACTGTATCTGTGAGGATGGTAAAGTTGTTTCTGTGTATCCACAAGCAAGAAGAATATGATAAATTAGTCATAAACTTTGTCTTTTTTTGTCTTCAAATGTGCTGCTGATAAAATCAGATCACTCAARCACTTTCTTGTTTCATTACACAGTTTTACATCTCTACAGATATAATAAATAGTAGCAATAATTCTGAGACATCGTAAAGGAAAAAAATTTCTGTTCAAACATTTATTTTTGTTTTGTAGAGGAGGTTCTGTAGGTCAGAAGTGTAAAAAGTAAATTAATAAAAATCATTATGACATTTTGCTATTTGATGCATGAAAACATTAACTCTTGGTACATGTACTGGAATGCCATATTTATCTTAGTGCACATTATGGACACAATTTCCAGAAGAAAAYAAATCTGATTATTGAATAAATCCAAACCATTCTCAGGAAACCAGCTGGTAAAGTTGTATCCACTGGACAAAGGTTAATGTATATGTTATAGCAGTTTTTAAGTTAAGTTATCTTGAGCAAAAGAGCTATAGAGCAAAAGAATTATTGAAGACAATTTGACAATTAAAAAAAAAAAAGAAATCATTGTCAGTTCAGTCCTGAACTGAAACACTTCACATGAAAAGTTGAAACTGTGGAATCAGATAAACTCTAAATGCATTTATTGTTGTTGTTTCACAGGAGGCCCTCAGGTGCTTTTCGTCTTGATTTGATGTCTGTGCAAAGGTTTCTGCAGCCTCTGCTGGTTGGAGAGTTGGCAGTGACATATGATCTGTTCTGAGACCAGACTTCTGATCTTCTGTTCTTCTTTCATGAGTTTCTGCTGCCTGTTCAGGTCCTTGTATTTGTCTTGACTTTTCATTTTATCGTGTTTTTATTAAAGCTTTACTTAAGACCACAAAAGCACACAAGTTTCAGTTTAGTAGACAGAAACTATTGTGAAAAACGTGTCAGAAGTTCTCATTTTGCTTGGATGTTTTCAGTACGCAGCTCAAATGTCATTTTGACCTGAAGCAAACAGAAGGGAGGAAGGAGCTGATCTGGATCTGGGTAAACATACTGGCAGTTGTACTTTTAGCAGTTTGATTACTGAATACCCGAGGGCTAAACAATAAAAAAATATATGATCTCAGTAGTCAAATAAAAGTTGACAGAGACCAAATTGGCCTGAGAGCCTTAAATTTGACCCATGTGTTATAACTTAGCTGCTCGTTTATCTTTGACCATCTCTCTGTTACAGTATGTATTTAAATAAATTAATTACCTGCCCTATAATCATCAGCATCATTATTTCTTTCTGAGAAATAATCCACCAAGCACAAATTTCCTTACTTTTTGTGCTAAGTTTATAATCCTGCATTATTTTTGCATTCCCAGTTTTACCACTATTTTTACCAGAATGAAAAATGCATTAACATGTATTAATATCAGCATATCAAGTCTAAAACTCGACAACAGAAGAAGTTTGCTTTACTGGAAACTCGACTATCTCCGTGGTACACATCGCTTGGACAGCACACCGCTTCCAAAGCAGAGGGGCGGGAGACAGAGAAGTGGGTGAAGAATTTGTCTGACAGACAGCTCACCCAGCCAGAAACTGAAATCCTTGCCAGGGGACTGAACTTTGCGGTCGCACCAACAAGAATCCCTTTGGTTGAGGTGATTACAGCCACAGAATCAGCCATTCGAAACAACAAAATACCAGGATTTGAAGCAGAGCAACTTAGGAATAAAGTTTCAGCCTGCCTCAGCAACGCCAAACCACCACCTTCTAATATCAGCAGAGAAGAGAGAGACGCTCTCAYTACCCTCAGCAAGGACAAGGACATCATCATTCTTCCAGCAGACAAAGGAAGGTGCACAGTTATTCTGAACCAGAAGGACTATGAAGATAAGATCATGGCACTCCTTAGCAACACAACCACATACGAGCCGCTGAAGAGAGATCCAGGAAGTGGTTACAAGAAGAAACTAATAGATTGCCTGAAAAGTTTAGAGCAGGACAAGGCTATTAATCGGATTCTGTATCATAGACTTTACCCAGGTGAGGCCACTCCTAGTCTGTATGGTTTACCCAAAATTCACAAACAGGATGTACCGGTAAGACCCATTGTCAGCATGATCAACTCTGTCACCTACAATGTTTCTAAATATCTGACRTCTATACTTGGTCCTTTAGTTGGCAGCTCAGAACATCACATACAGAACACTATGGACTTTGTTGACAAGGTGAGGGATGTCATCATGGAGACGGATGAAACTATGGTCTCTTTTGATGTTACATCGCTCTTCACGTGCGTTCCTGTTGATAAGGCAGTGGATGTGGTCTGTGCAAGATTRAAATCAGACACCACTCTCAGCAGCAGAACCACACTTTCCACAGAGCAAGTGTGCCAACTCCTCAAACTGTGCCTGGAATCAACCTACTTCACGTACGGGGGGGCAATATTATAGGCAGAAACATGGGTGTGCCATGGGATCCCCAGTTTCTCCTTTTGTTGCAAACCTGTACATGGAGGAAGTGGAAAAGAGAGCCTTGATGTCCTTTTCAGGGGTGCCACCGAGCCATTGGTTCAGATATGTTGACGACACCTGGGTTAAAATGAAAGCCCAGGAAGTCCAACATTTCACTGATCACATCAACTCTGTGGATGAATATATTAAGTTCACACGAGAGGATGTAAAAAATGGCAGGTTGGCGTTCCTGGATTGCGAAATCTCGGTTTCGGATGGAGGACGGTTGGAAACTGGCGTATATCGTAAGCCCACCCACACAGACCAATATTTGCGTTTTGACTCCCACCACCCACTGGAACACAAGTTAGGAGTGATCAGGACTCTGTACCACAGAGCAGACAGTGTCCCTACAAACCCAGGAGCCAGGCAGAAAGAGAAATCACACACACGACAGGCCCTGGAGCAGTGTGGTTATCCTGACTGGGCTTTCCTGAAAGCAGACAGGAAACACAGACAGGATTCCATGCAACCTTCAGGTGAAAATGAAGACCCCCAAACCCAGACCCAATGTTGCGGATGTTTCGGAGAAACTGAGACGTTTATTTTCTAAACATGATGTCCCAGTGGCTTTCAAACCCCAAAACACATTACGGCAAAGGCTGGTTCACCCCAAAGATCCGGTGCCCCGGCACAAACAGAGCAATGTTGTATATGCTGTKAAGTGCCAGGAGGACTGCGACCAGTTATACATCGGGGAAACAAAGCAGCCACTGTTCAAAAGAATGTCCCAACACAGACGAGCTACGTCTAATGGCCAGAACTCTGCAGTTTTCACTCATTTACAGGCCAGCGGTCACTCTTTCAGAGATGAGGATGTTCTCATTCTTGATAGAGAGGAACGTTGGTTTGAGAGAGGAGTAAAAGAAGCCATTTTTGTGAAGAAAGACCGTCCATCATTAAACAGAGGTGGAGGCCTCCGTTTTCAGTTGTCCTCCTCCTACAGCGCAGCTATTGCCAGTATCACTTCACCCCCTGTTAACAATAAGTGTTAATTAGGTGTCAACGACAGCCATGTGATGTGAGTATCAGTCACATCACAAAAGCCTGAATTTTGCCTGAAACTCTCAGACTGAAGAAGTCTCTTGGAGAAGAGATGAAACGTTTCATTAGAGAAGAACCCGTCCAG